TGTTGGTACACTTGAAGTTGTCCCAAAGGCTTCTTACACTATCTTCAACTTTCTAGATTCTCTTATCTTCTTGGTTCTCCGGAAGAGTGTCCTTTGCCTCTTTGTATTCCAAATCTTTGACTTGATTCTTGCATTCTTCTAGTCTGCTGTTGGGTCCCTGGATAATATTTTTTTAAATTTCAGTCAGTGTATGTTTAAATTGTAGTTGGTTTAATTTCTTTTTCATATCCTCGAGGGTCTCATTAAATTTATTAGCCTTTTCTAGGAAATTCTTGAAAAACCTTATAACCATGGTTTTGAACTCTATATCCAGTCTTTTGTTCTCCTCCATTTCTTTTGTTTGATGTCTTCTTCCTTCTCTCAATATTTTCACTGCTTATGCAAAAACAGCTGTGTGGGGCCTGGGTGGGTTTGTAGAATGTGCGGGGTGGGGCTTCAGGGTGGGGCGGGGTCTCAGAATGTCACTAGGCTGGGGCATGGCAAACAGTGATGGCTGCTGTGAGCCATCTCTGCCTTTCCAAGTTTCCACGTTCCCACATTCCAATGCAATAAACAATGATTGCTGCTCACACCTCTGCAAAAAGTCACCCTCATGTTCAGACCCAATGGCCGATAGACCAGCTTTGTCTCATAGGCATCTGGGTCCCATGCATGACCTCAGAAACTGGATTTCAAAGTGCTTGGGAGCCTGTTTCCCTTCTGGTTGAAAAAAGCCTCACACCCAGTTGCCCGCCACCAGCCCGTTTCATGTGCCTCTGTACTTAGGCCTTTCAGCTTTTCAGTGCTTGAGCTCCTTTCTCTTTCAGCCAATTTTCCCGTGGTTTTCGGTGATAGACGTTTTGTCTTGTAGTTTTGAAATTGTTGTGCAAGATGGCATATTAGTTGTTCATCTTGTTTTTCCAGTTCACAGCTCTTTGAGCATGATTTCCCAGTGATTAAAGCTCTATGAACAAGTGTCCCTATTTGAAATACAGTCAAAAAATTTTGCAAGATCTATCATTTGAGTTCTGAGTGTTTTAAACACTTTCATAAAGATGTATAACAACAATACCCAGCAGACAGCTGTGAACCCAGGAAAACTGGTCCCAAGCAGTGCAATCACATGTATTCATAGGAGCTCTGCACCCTCCTATGGAAAGGACAGATTTTGCCTAGCAAAAGGGGGGAGAGAACTACATGGAAAAGAGAGAACATGAAGATAAAAGAAATGGCCTGCATATAAAAGAGAAGCAGGCATCACCATAAAAGTAAGTAAAACAAAATGGAGGCAAGCAACTTGTCAGAGAAAGAATTCAGAGAAATGGTCATAAGATGGCTAAAGAATGGAAGACAAATTCAATAATATGTGTAAGAACCAAGAGGAAATGAAGAAGAAACAAGAAGAAATGAAAAATGGCTTTGCTATTATAAAGAACTCAATAGAAAGCATCAACAGTAGAGTAGAAGCAGCAGAGGACCACATCAGTGAGCTAGAAGACAAAGTAGGGAAAAGTACCAAAGAAGAGCAGCTGGGAGAGAGAGAGAGAGAGAGAGAGAGAGAGAGAGAGAGAGAGAGAGAGAGAGAGAGAGAGAGAAAGAGAGAGAGATAGAAAGAAGTAGGAGAGCCTAAGGATACTTTGGGACAACACAAAATGAAACAATGTCTGCAAAATTGAGGTGCCAGAAGGAGAGAAAATCAACCATGAAATAGAAAACCTGCAACCCTTCAGTCTTCATTTTTCTATAATATGGAAAAAAAAAATACCCAAGTAGAGAAGCTTCTAGAAAAAAAAATTAAAAAGCACGAGAGCCTTAGGGAACTTTGGGATAACACAAAACAAAACAACATCCACATTAAGGGGTTCCAGAAGGAAAGGAAACTGAGCAAGGAATATAAAACCTGTTTGAAGAAATAATGACAGAAACTTTCCTGATATAGGGAAGAAAAAACCCATACAAATCCAAGAAGCTCACAAAGTCCCAAGCAAAATGAACTCCAAAAGACCCACACCAAGGCACATTATAATTAAATTGACAAACACCAACGACAAAGTAAAAATCTTAAAAGTGGTCAGAGAGAGACAGAAAGTTTCATACAAAGGAATCCCCATCAGACTAGCAACTGATTTCTCAACAGAAATTCATCAGGCCAGAAGGGAAGGAAATGAAATAAAGTTTTACAAAGGAAGGGTCTGAATCCAAGAATACTGTACCCACCAAGGCTATCAATCAAAATTGAAGGTGAAATCAGAAGCTTCATAGACAAAAAAGGCCTAAGGGAATTTATCACCACCAAACCAGCAATGCAAGAAATGCTAAGGGGTCTGCTGTAAAAAGAAAGAAAGAAAAGAAGAAAGGAAGGAAGGAAGGAAGGAAGGAAGGAAGGAAGGAAGGAAGGAGGAAGGAAGGAAGAGAAAGAAAGAAAAAAGAAAGAAAGAAAGAAGAGAAAGGAAGGAAAGAAAGAAGGAAGGAAAGGAAGAAGAAGAAGGGAAGGAAGGAAGAAGAAGAAAGAAGAAAGAAAGAAAGAAAGAAAGAAAGAAAGAAAGAAAGGGAGAGAGAAGAAAGAAAGGAAGGAAGGAAGGAAGGAAGGAAGGAAGGAAGGAAGGAAGGAAGGAAGGAAGAAGGAAGGAAGGAAGAAGAAGAAGAAAGAAAGAAAGAAGAGGAAGTGAAGAGAAGGAACAGAGGGGCATAGAATAAAAATGGTGACAAATAAGTACCCCTCAATAATAACTTTAAATGGATTAAATGCCCCAATCAAAAGATACAGGGTAACAGATTGGATAAGAAAACAAGACCCATATATCTGTTGTCTACAAGAAATCCATCTCAGGAAAAAAAAAAAAAAGTTCACAGACTGAGGGTGAGGGGATGGAAAAAGGTTTTCCAAGCGAATGGAAATGAAAAAAAGCTGGGGTAGCAATACTTATATCTGAAAAATTAGATCTCAAAGTGAAGGACATAGCAAGAAATAAGGAAGGCCACTTCATAATAATAAATGGAGCAATCCAACAAGAAGAAATAACTCTGGTAAACATTTATGCACCCAATATAGGAGCACCCAAATATATAAGAAAAATTCCTGGAGGATATCAAGGGAGATATTAATAACAATACAATCATAATAGGAGACTTCATTACCACATTATCACCACTAGACAAATCACGAAACAAAAATCATCAAAGAAACATCAATCCTAAATGACTCACTAGGCCAGATGGAATTATTTGACATCTTCAGAATAATCTTCAAAGCCACAGAATATACATTCTTCTCAAGTGCACATGGGTCATTTTCAAAGATAGACAACATGTTGGGACGTAGGCAAAGTCTCATCAAATTCAAGAAGATAGAAATCATATCTAGTACATTTTCAGATCACAGTGGCATAAAACTGTAAATCAACTACAATAAAAAACAATCCAAAGAAATCAAAGGCCTGCAGACTAAACAGTATGCTATTAAACAATGACTGGGTCACCAGAGAGATCAAAGAAGAAATAAAAAATATCATGGCAACAAATGAAAATGAAAACAAAACAATCCAAAATCTATGGGACAGAGGAAAATCAGTCTTAAAAGGAAGTTCATAGCTCTACAAGCCTAATGCAAAAAATAAGAAACAATGATAATAAATTACCTAACTCTACAAATCAAAGAGTTAGAAAGAGTGCAATAAAAAAATCCCAGTGTACATAAGATGGGAAACCACAAAAATACTAGAGGCATCCACAGGCAGCAAAATCTCAGACATATGCCAAAAGAACTTCTTCACTGATACTGCCCCTAAATCAATGGAAGCTAAAGAGAAAATAAACAAATGGGACTACATCAAAATAAAAGGCATTTTTACAGCAAAAGAAACCATCAACAAAACAACAAGAAATCCCACTGCATGAGAGAACATATTTACAAATGTTATCACTGATAAAGGTTTAATCTCCAACATTTACAGACAGCTTATACAACTATATAAAAGGAAGATAAATGGCCCAATTAAAAAATGGGTGATGGACCTAAATAGAATCTTCTCAAAAGAAGACAGAAGGAAGGCCAAGAAGCACATGAAAACATGCTCAAAGTCACTAATTATCCAAGAGATGCAAATAAAAATGACAATGCGGTACCATCTCACACCTGTCAGAATAGCCAACATCAACAAATCAACAAATGACAAGTGTTAGCGAGGTTGTGGAGAAAAAGGAACCCTCCTGCAGTGCTGGTGGGAATGCAGCCTGGTGCAACCACTGTGGAGAACAGTATGGAATTACCTAAGAAAACTGAAAATGGAACTCCCATTTGACACAGTAATCCCACTCCTAGGAATATATCCCAAGGAACTAGAAACACCAATCAGATAGGATATATGCACCCCTATGTTCATAGCAGCACAACCTACAATAGCTAGGATTTGGAAACAGTCTAGGTGCCCGTCAGCAGATGATTGGATAAAAAAACTATGGTACATCTACACAATGGAATATTATGCTGCCATAAAAAATAAGGAATTCTCATCATTGCAGCAACCTGGATAGAATTGGAGAACATTCTGCTAAGTGAAATAAGCCAATCTATGAAAGAGAAATACCACATGACCTCACTCATTTATGGATAATAAAGAACATTATAAACTGATGACCCAAAAGATATAGAGACAGTAAAGTAACAAGCAGACTAATTACAGTGGGGAGGGGAGGGAGATCTGGGGAAGAAAGAGATCAACCGAAGGACTTGTATACATGCATTTAAGTACAACCAATTGACACAAAACTCTGGGGAGGGAGAGTATGTATGGGAGGGGTGCAATGTTAAAATATGTACACAGATAATAATTTAATAAAAAGAAAAAAAAAGAAAGAAAAGCCCAGTGTAAACAGAATGAAGGCGAAGGAAATAATAAAGACAAGAGTGGAGATAAATGACATAGAGGCAAAAGAAACAGTACAAAAAATCAACAAAAGCAAGAACTGGTTCTTTTATTTATTTTTATTTTTATTTTTTTATTTTTATTTTTATTTTTTATTATGTTCCTTCTTATATGTATCAAAACTCATACTGAGCAATGAGTTCTGGGTTGCAAAAGAGGCTTTATTTTTAGCACTTGTATGTAGTTTTTGAAGAACTGGTTCTTTTAAAGGATAAACAGGATTCATGAACCTCTAGCCAGGTTCACCAAGAAGCAAAGACATGACTCAAATAAACAAAATCAGAAATCAAAGAGGTAAAATAACAATAGAACCCACTGAAATACAAAGGATTGTTAAGAAATACTATGAGCAACTCTATTCCAACAAACTGGAAACCTGGAGGAAATGGATATATTCCTAGAAAAATATAACCTTCCAAAACTCAATCAGGAAGAATCGAAACATCTTTATATGCCAGTAACTATGGAAGAAATTGAAGCAGTCATAAAAAAGCTTTCAGCAAACAAAAGCCAGGGGCTTGACAACTTCACAGGAGACTTTTACCAAACATTCAAAGAAAAACTAAAAACTATTCTCTTCAGACTATTCCAAGAAATTGAAGAGGAAGGAACACTCCCAAGCTCATTCTAAGGCCAGCATCATCATAATACCAAAACCAAATAGAGACAACACAATGAAAGAATTACAGGGCAATATCCCTGATGAACATAGATGCCAAAATCCTCAACAAGATTCTAGCAAATGAGCTCCAACATTTGAAAAATCATCCACAATCACCAAGTAGGATTTATTCTGGGAATTAAAGGATGGTACAATATGCACAAATCAATAAATGTGATTTATCACATAAACAAATTGAGAGATAAAAATCATATAGTCATATCAATTGATGCAGAAAAAGCATTTTACAAAACCCAACACCTTTTCATGATAAAAACTCTAAACAAGGTGGGAATGGAAGAATCATACCTCAACATAATAAATGCTATATATGATAAACCCACAGCAAACATCATACTCAATGGGCAAAACTATAACCATTTCCCCTAAAGACAGGAACAAGACATTGATGCCCACTCTCACCACTCCTGTCTGACATAGTAATGGAAGTATTAGCCATTACAGTTAGACAAGAAGAAGAAATAAAAGGCATCCAAATTGGAACAGAAGAAGGAAAACTGTCCTTATTTGCAGATGACATGACATTGTACATAAAAAACCTGAAAGACTCCATCAAAAAACTAATAGACTTAATAAATGAATTCAGCAATGTAGCAAGATACAAAGTTAACACCAGGAAATCTATGGCCTTTCTATACACCAATTGTGAATTCATAGAAAAAGAGACTAAAAAAGCAATCCCATTTTCCATCACACACAAAAAATTAAGATACCGAGGAATAAACTTAACAAAGCAGGTAAAAGACATATATGCGGAAAACTACAGGACACTGATAAAAGACATGGAGGAAGATGTAAACAGATGGAAGAACATACCTTGTTCATGGATTGGTAGAATCAAAATCATTAAAATGTCCATACTACCCAAAGCAATCAATAGATTCAATGCACTCCCCATTACCAATGGCATATTTCACAGACTTCGAATGAACTTTCCAAAAATTCATTTGGAATAAAAAAAGTCCCTGAATAGCCAAAGCAATCCTGAGAAAGAAGAATAAAGTAGGTGGGAATCAATACCAGATTGCAAGCTGTATTTCAAAGCCACTGTTCTGAAAACAGCCTGGTACTGTCACAAGAACAGACATACAGATCAATGGAATAGAATCGAGAATCCAGACATAGACCCAAAGCACTATGCTCAATTAATATTTCACAAAGGAGGTATGAACATACAATGGAGTCAAGACAGTCTCTTTAATAAGTATTGTTTGGAAAATTGGATGGATACATGCAAAAAAGTGAGACTAGATCACCAGCTTACACCATACACAAAAATAAACTCAAAATGGACACAAGACTTAAAAATAAGATGGGAAACCATAAAAGTGATAGAGGAATCCACAGGCAGCAAAATCTCAGACATATACCAAAAGAACTTCTTCACTGATACTGCCCCTAGGGCAATGGAAGCTAAAAAGAAAAACAAATGGGACTACATCAAAAGAAAAAAAAAAATTTACAGCAAAAGAAACTATCAACAAAATAACAAGAAAGCCCACTTTATGGGAGAACATATTTGCAAATGTTTTCACTGATAAAGGTTTAATCTCCAACATCCTCAGGCAGCTTATACAACTAAATAAAAGGAAGATAAATGATCCAATAAAAAATTGGGCAACAAACCTAAATAGAATCATTTCAAAAGAAATCAGGAGGAAGGCCAAGAGACACATGAAAATATGTTCAAAGTCACTAATTACCTGAAAGATGCAAATCAAAATGACAATGCGGTACTATCTCACACCTTTCAGAATGCCTATTATCAACAAATCAACAAATGACAAGTGCTGGTGAGGATGCAGAGAAAAAGTAACCCTCAAGCACTGCTGGTGGGAATGCAGACTGATGCAGCCACTGTGCAGAACAGTCTGAAGTTTCCTCAAAAAACTAAAAATGGAACTCCCATTTGACACCAGTAATTCCTCACCTAGGAATATATCCTAAGAAACTGAAAACTCCAATAGGAAAGGATATATGCACCCCTATGTTCATAGCAGCACAATTTACAATTCCTAAAATTTGGAAACAGCTTAGGTGCCCATTAGCAGATGACTCAATCAGAAAACTATGGTACATCTACACCATGGAATTCTATGCTGCCATAAAAAAGAAGGAACACTTACCATTTGCAGCAACCTGGATGGAATTGGAGAACATTATGCTAAGTGAAATAAGCCAGTCAATGAAAGAAAAACACAACATAATCTCACTCATTTATGTATAATAAATAACATTATAAACTGTTGAACAAAAAGATAGATACAGAGACAGTAAAGCATCCAATAGATTATTAAATTACAGTGGTAAGGTTAGGGAGAAGTGGGAGAGATAAAGATTAACCATAGGACTTGTATGCATGCATATAAGCATAACCAATGGAATCAAAACTCTGAGGGAAAAGGGTATGTATGGGAGTGGGTTTGTAATTAATGGTAAGATATGTACACATATAATACCTTAATAAAAAAAATGAAGAAAAAATATGTTCCAGTATCTAACTCAGTTCACAGCTCTTTGAACACGATTTCCCAGTGATTAAACTAAGCCTTTTAGATATTAAGGCTCTATGAACATGTATTCTTTTTTTTATATATATATTTTATTGATTTTTCACAGAGAGGAAGAGAGAGGAATAGAGAGTCAGAAACATCGATGACAGAGAATCATTGATCAGCTGCCTCCTGCACACCCCCCACTGGGGATGTGCCCGCAACCAAGGTACATGCCCTTGCCCGGAATCGAACCCGGGACCCTTCAGTCCGCAGGCCGACGCTCTATCCACTGAGCCAAACCGGTCCCGACCATGTATTCTTTTTAAAAAATTTTATTAAATTCTTATCTGTGTACATATACCATTGCCCCCCTCCTCAATACATGCCCTCCCTCCCCAGAGTTTTGTGTCCTTTGGTTGTACTTATATGTATGTATAAAAGTCCTTTGGTTGATCTCTTTCTTCCCCAGATCTCCCTCCCCTCCCCACTGTAATTAGTCTGCTTGTTACTTTACTGTCTCTATATCTATCTTTTGGGTCATCAGTTTACAATGTTCTTTATTATTCATAAATGTGTGAAGTCATGTGGTGTTTCTCTTTCATTGACTGGCCTATTTCGCTCAGCATGATATTCTCCAATTCCATCCAGGTTGCTGCAAATGATGAGAATTCCTTATTTTTTTATGGCAGCATAATATTCCATTGTGTAAATGTACCATAGTTTTTTGATCCAATCATCTGCTGACGGGCACCTAGGCTGTTTCCAAATCCTAGCTATTGTAGGTTGTGCTGCTATGAACATAGGGGTGCATATATCCTATCTGATTGGTGCTTCTAGTTCCTTGGGATATATTCCTAGGAGTGGGATTACTGAGTCAAATGGGAGTTCCATTTTCAGTTTTCTTAGGTAATTCCATACTGTTCTCCACAATGGTTGCACCAGGCTGCATTCCCACCAGCACTGCAGGAGGGTTCCTTTTTCTCCACAACATCACTAACACTTGTCATTTGTTGATTTGTTGATGTTGGCTATTCTGACAGGTGTGAGATGGTATCACATTGTTGTTTTGATTTGCATCTCTCGGATAATTAGTGACTTTGAGCATGTTTTCATGTGTTTCTTGGCCTTCCTTCTGTCTTTTTTTGAGAAGATTCTATTTAGGTCCATCACCCACTTTTTAATTGGGTCATTTATCTTCCTTTTATATAGTTGTATAAGCTGTCTGTAAATGTTGGAGATTAAACCTTTAGCAGTGATAACATTTGCAAATATGTTCTCCCACACAGTGGGATTTCTTGTTGTTTTGTTGATGGTCTCTTTTGCTGTAAAAAAGCTTTTTATTTTGATGTAGTCCCATTTAGCTTCCATTGATTTAGGGGCAGTATCAGTGAAGAAGTTCTTTTGGCATATGTCAGAGATTTTGCCACCTGTGGATGCCTGTAGTATTTTTATGGTTTTCCATCTTGTGTTTAAGTCCTGTATCCATTTTGAGTTAATTTTGTCTATGGTGTAAGTTGGTGATCTAGTTTCATTTTTTTGCATGTCTGTCCAATTTTCCCAACACCATTTACTGAAGAGACTGTCTTGACTCCATTATATGTTCACACCTCTTTTGTCAAATATTGAGTATAAAGATTTGGGTTGATATTCAGATTCTATTCTATTCCATTGATCTATATATCTGTTCTTGTGCCAGTTCCAGGCTGTTTTGAGAACATTGGCTTTGTTCTTGAACTACAGCTTGAAATCTGGTATTGAGATCCCTCCTACTTTATTTTTCTTTCTCAGGATTGCTATGGCTATTCGGGGGTCTTTTTTTTTTTTTGTTCCAGATGAATTTTTTGGAAAGTTCTTTCTAGGTCTATCAAATATGGCATTGGTATTTTTTAAAAAAATATATTTTATTGTTTTTGTACAGAGAGGAAGGGAGAGAGATAGAGAGCTAGAAACGTCGATAAGAGAGAGTCATCTATCAGCTGCCTCTTGCACGCCCCCTACTGGGGATATGCCCACAACCAAGTTACATGCCCTTGACCGGAATCGAACC